ATAAGCTTCTGTCACCTGGCTCTTGCCATGTTGTCAATGATTTCTTTGAGCACACATTGAGAAATACCTGATGGTGACCCCAAGGACTCCAAGCCATCTTCTCGCCAAACTGCTGAAAAAGAATTCCCAGCACCCAGACCTAGAAGCAAACAGATGGAAACCATTTCCACTGCAGGCTGGGATCCCCTTGTGCCTCAGAGAACTGTGGCACTGCAGGGGGGTTGGAGAGCACTGTGGGGGCCAGATGTCAATGGACATGGCCAGAGCTGCAGAGGGGCCTGGGCAGCTCTGGGCTGGCTCCTGGCCGCTCTCCACACTCTTCCCATCCCTGTGCAACATCCCTGGAGGAGCGGCTGGAGCAGCCAAGGGCCCCTCAGGGCTCTCTCCCGCACCCAGGACCCCCTGGCTAAAGCCCTGGGGAAAACCATCCCTGACCCTTCCCGGGGAGAAGAGCCTGCCGGGCCGGGAAAGGTGCCCCAGGCCGCCGGCTCACCTGCTCCCCGCGCTGGCACCGGAGCAGCCTGGGCAGCCCTGGCGTGCAGGGCCACTGCCAGGAGGAGGAGGAGGGAGAGGTGGAGAGCAAGGGCCATGGCCCCTCGCCCTCACACCGTCCCGCAGCTACTGCTGCCCCCTCTGTCCTGACACCGCTGTTGTATAAACTCTGTGTAATAATCACTGTCCAGAAAACTCTGTCCAGTAATCACTGTAAAGTAATCACTGTCCAGCAATCACTGTCCAGCAATCACTGTCCAGTAATCACTGTCCAGTAAACTCTGTCCAGTAATCTCTGTCCAGCAATCACTGTCCAGAAATCACTGTCCAGAAATCACTCTCCAAACGCCGCCAACTCTGACACCGCTGCCGCCACCGCTGCTGCCGCAACAATTGTAGTCAGGGACCGAGTGGTTGGTCATTGTGGTGCTGTGGGACCACGGGGCTCTGTGACCTCACAGCCCTGCTGTGACCTCACTGCCTGGGTGGGATTGTGAGGACACATCTCAGGAGCTGCCCTCCCACGAGGGGAGCACGTCCCCCCCCACAGCTCTGTCCAATCCACTTGTTTTCATGAGAACTGGTTTATGTG